TGACACTGCCGCTCTGACTTAGTGACTAGACTAACAGATCAGTTATTTGAACAGAGCACAGAGGCTGTATTTATAGGGCCCTGAAGTATCACAGCCGAGGGCCAGCCGTGTAATGCCATCTGCTTCTCTGTATGAAAATACAGCAGGATCTGACGGTGTGCCCGTGTGTTTTACAACTCTAATATAAAAGCAATTTGCAAAGGAACAGCATTGCTCCATTTTCAACTCAGTGGGTCAGGAGGTACTAGACCCATTTCATGATGGTGTCAGTGCGTGTTATGACACTTTCCCAAAGCGTTTACGGCACAGTCCTGCCTGTACGACACCACGCTCCTGTTTTTCTTCTAGCCAGTCGTATCTCAGTGGAGGTCTTTCAATCTGTTCTGATCGGGCAGAGCCAGCGCGGTCTCAAGGCCTCCCGCGTCTTTGTCGTAGCGAGTGATTCATGTGACACACAGTGGCTTGTTGTTCCACTCCGGAGTTAAAGGAAAGGTATCTACTGATGGCAATGAATAACTTTAAACCAGAGTGCAATTCTCATTCAACATCACCATGGTGATAGATGCTTTTGAAGCATGCTGGGCGCTCGCTCTGAAATACATCGTCAGATAGCAGAAAACCCTCGGGCAGAGATGAAGGACAGGAGATGTTAAAGAGTGTGAACACGGCCTTGTGACTGCAGCCACACACAGCCACAGTCCAGGGCTGCGGCTCAAAGCTTTGTGGGGGGGCTGATCATTGTCACCGCTCAGGGTCTTTTGGGTCATCCACTACATAACACTGTGGAAAACCAGCTCTGCATACTAACTACCAATCACTGAGACAGTGGAGCTAGCAGAGATGGCAAAAGTACACACATCATTCACTCCAGTAGAAGTACAGATACTCGTGTTTAGAAATAAAGTAGAAGTACTGACTAGACTTCTTTACTCAAGTAAAAGTAAAGAAGTATGGGCTTCAAAATGTACTTAATTAAAAAGACGCCATAACTACCAATTGTTTTATAGAGTCAAGCTGGTAACTGGACCTCTCTTTACATTAACAGAGCAAACTTATATTTAAAATTGTCATACTGTCATTGTCATCGTCATACATACACCGATCACGTTTTTAGGTTGGAAAAGGCGCACAATGACTCACTGATTGATCACACCAAAACATTTTGGAAAATGATAGACGTCGAAAGTACAGGTATTTGTGTTAAAAATGTAAGGAATAAAAGTAGGAAGCTGCCAGAAAAATAAATAGTGGAGTAAAGTACTGATACCAGAAAAATCTACTTACAACAACAAAGTATTTCACTACTTCCCACCTCCGGGAGCTAGCCAATTGATAATGTTTCCTGTTGTCATATAAACATATTTTCATCCACCGTGCTCCTGGGAGAGTTCATCCTAAGTGTTTGTGATAATAGGTGTATTAGTATTTTAAATAATTCGAGCCGCATTAACATTGTGATTACAGTGTATTGGCTGTACCGCAGGGAGGTTTCCTTTTTTTCTTCTTTTTAACAAGGCTTTATTTACCCTTCAGGTTTAATCAGGGATCTTGACATGTGACTGGCTTTGATCAGCAGAGCAGAGGAAGGTTCTGCAGAGCTTCACCTGAGTGCAGAGGCTGCTGGGAAAACAGAAGAGAAAGGAGGGGGAGGGGGGGGGGTCATTGAGCGTTCTGCAGACATCTCACAGGCAGGAGGGAATATTTCAATGCTCGCTTTGAGGACGTTAACTTATTAAGCCAAGGTAACAGCTCGCAGTGAAAACATTAGCGCAGATTAACCATGGCAACGGGTCCTAATCAGACAGCTATGCAGGGAGACTGAGTGGAGATATGAGCCCACAGATGTGTTGTAGCTTCATTAGTTTAGTGTTGTTGGGCCCTTGGGAGCAGTGAAATGGTAATGCGAAAACGTTCGCGTTAATATTTTATAATGTTAAACACGAACAATGAAATATACTGGAATGCAGAATGGAATTTACTGAATGCTCACTCAACTATAATACTATAATAGTTTGTGTTGATTTAATATTTTGTAAAGCAGTTTGAAAAACACAAACAGTTATCCAATTAGAGTCAATGTACTTATTTAAATACATAATGGGTATATTAAAATGGTAACCTTTTTACAAAGAATAAGTGTTATTTGTTCTCCTGTTAGCTGCATTAAGGAACACTGTAAGACCTACATGCATTACAAATGCTTTCAAATGCATCATTCTTTACATATGTATGTCAAGCAAGTCAAGAAACAATGCTTAGCAAGACACAGTCAATAGCTACAGTGTATGTTATCAAATGCTTTTATTGAATTCTTTATACAGTATATGTTCTAAAGCAGGGGTCGGCAACCTTTTTGATATGATGTGCCATTAAAACAATTCATTTCATTGTTATCAGCGTGCCAACGATCGAGAATCATCAACAGGGGGGGGGGTGTTGAGGAGCGTTGAGGAGCTTGACGCTGGTGAACTATCAACAGGAGGGCGGGGGGAGCCGAATTTAACACATTTAAATAATTGGTTTAAACGGCATAATAATAAGGACGATCGTCCGTTCTGTGATTCTCCAGAACACACATGTTATGATATTAGGGTCAGGCAGAGTGAGATGAGAACGCTGTCCCTTTAAGAGAGAGAGAGAGAGGGGTGTGGCGGGTGCATGTGTGTGTGTGGATGGTAGAGCGACAGTGAGGGAGCGTGTGTATGTTTCTGGAAGTGAAACGAGGCAGCAGAAAAACAGAGGTCTGTGATGTATTTTGTGAAACAGAAGAACAGCTAAATAAATGCAACGGCCTCCCAAGAAGAGCTCGCCTCTCTCCAGTCATTTCAGCTAAAGTGGGTTATTGAACCTGAAGCTTGTTGCTTCTGCCCTCCTCGACTACGGTCTGGGAGCCGACAGGAAAGTTCAACACACAGATGGCCAGTCCGCCCCTTTGTAGCATATTATTTCAATGAGAGATGAGCAGATCGCCACTGGGCTTTCAACTAAAGACACAGCCACGCAAAAACGGTGTTATTTGTAAAGCTCCTTATGGGTACTGCAATTTGTGCTTTCCTCCGTGGTGAAACGATCAGCCCTGCACCACGGAGGAAAGCGGCAGAAAGTCACCTGGAGTTAAAGAGAGCGGGGCTGCGCTACGTGCATGGCTTCCTTCTGCAGGTAACGGGGAGACGCGGTCTCGTTCAGGATCCGAAAATACAATTTAAATATTTTGCACACTTATTCCACTTAATCCTAATGTGCCACTGGTTACGGTGTCGCGTGCCAATGCTGGCACGCGTGCCAGGGGTTGCCGACCCCTGTTCTAAAGTATTCTCTGAGAAATGATTTAGTGATGGAGGCAGTGGAACCAATCCCCCAGGAAGTGAGCAGACACAACAGTTGTACGTCATTGAGTCCAAAAAGACTCCATTCCCATTAAATAAATACAAAAAAACACATAATGAACGCTTGAGTAGCTTTTTAAATCATTAGGTTCACAAATGCACTAAAAGATTAATCTACTTTCCCTCACTATTTATTTGGCTAAGCCAAGACCGGAAGTGAAGGAACGGTTTGGAGGTGGGGCTTAAGGAAAGGTTCACGGTTGATCCGGGTAGTTTTCTGTTCCTGTCAGTCTTTTTTAAGTTATGCCACATCAAACAAGGCCCGTGCCTCAGGTATCATCTCATCGCTTCAATGCGGTGCCAAAGTTGCTTGTTTCTTCTCTTTCTAGCCTTTCAATCCCTTGACATCCACACTTAGCCTTAGCCTTGTGTGGCGGAGTTAAACTCATGTAATGCAGTCACAGCTGTGTTTTTGTAGAATATTTAAAAATATTTTAAAAGGTCTACCCAATCATGATCAAAGACCAGAACAATCTGCTAAATGTGATGCAAAAAATATGAAGAAAAAAATGCCTAACAGGCTGGATCTGTGTACAGCTACTGCACGCTAAAAGGTTAACCATGTGGTATAGTAATTCAAACACACAGTAGACTGAGTCATTAAGGAAAAGAGATTAATGAAATTTGGTTTGTGTTATTATGCTTTAAAAATATTAAATACCTGCATTTGCTAAATGTATACTTTTTACAGGTTCTTCATTTCTGTATATGAGTAAATACAATATGATAAATATTGATGGTCATGCAACAACATTCTGTTAAAATGATTAATTGTTATTAACCATCTGAGTCTGCTATTAGTTACATTGAGGTACTGTTCAATAAAGAAGGCATTTATTGGAGGTTTTTTATAGTCTGTGATCAATAAACCAATAGTATATCATTAGCCCACAAATGTTATATTCAATCTTTCTAATTACATGTACAAATATAACCTTAATTTGACTATATGATATTCCTGCATTGTTTATGTTCCTTTATTTGAAACGTTCTATTTGTTTGACGTAACATGCATTGACTGTGAAAACAACATGTCTTTTTTTATCCTAGCAAGACTGCTCTTGACCACTCAGTGTATCTCTCTTACCTAAGAGCAAAAACAAGAACACATTGGTGAATCCCATAAGCCATAGGTATTACAAAATAAGAACAAAGCGTGGGTACAAAGAAAAACAAGAGGAGATTTGGTCTTATGTTTCTGAATCTTTCAAACACTAAGCATGGTGAGTTTAGGAAAGAACAACAGCATATTATCTATATACTATTATGTAAGTAAACAGTTGTTTCTCTACACAACGCTGACCTTTTCTGTACAGCAGCATGATAAAACAAGGCATTGCACATCATTTGAAAATAAAAAGTAAAAAATAAACAAATGTAAAATAGAAACATCTCAAAATAGAAAATAAAAAAATCTATATATCCAAGTTGACCGTGAAAACAAAAAAAAGGTGGACTATCAGACAAATAAACACTATGAAGGGCCAATTACAGGTAACAAAATGTTAAAGTTGTATATTATTTACAAATAAGATGAAAAAGCTATCAATAATCAACACAGGTGTGCTCTATGTTAAGTTGCTCGCGCTGAACCCGTGTGTTTTGGTCCTTCAGGCTCTCCGTACCGAGATAAGATCACTATAGCCATCCTGCAGCTTCAGGAGGAGGGGAAGCTGCACATGATGAAGGAGAAGTGGTGGAGAGGAAACGGCTGTCCGGAGGAGGATAGCAAGGAGGCCAGCGCCCTGGGGGTGCAGAACATCGGGGGCATCTTCATCGTGCTGGCTGCCGGACTCGTCCTCTCCGTGTTCGTGGCCGTGGGGGAGTTCCTCTACAAGTCCAGACAGAACGCACAACTTGAGAAGGTAAGAAATACTCCTGACTGTTCTTTGTTACTTACAACAATGATAGCAGAATTTCTTACTATAGTCACATATGCTATGAAATGCATTGTCTCATAGCAAATACATGCAAATGCTAACAAAATGAAACAAAATATATGCTAAATATGCTATATGTTCAGTTAAATAAATAATTTGCTTGCCAATTAGCAAAGATCACACTATAATTACATTGCTATATCATATGCAGCAAGATAAGGGTTGGTTTCTTTGCATTTATTCACTTAGGCCCAATGGCGACAACGAGATAAGAAACGTGAGGAATTCTGCTGTCACCATGGATCCAAGCTAGACTTTAACCACCATCTCAAATGACCTCAAGAAAAACTCCAGAAACTTTTTTCTGTTGTATTCTAACATGATCTGAAACTTCCCAAGTCTATTGAACTGTTTTTATTTGTTGACACCCCCGAGGGAATGGGAACACTAAGAGCAGTTTAATAAAAGGAAGTTTGAAATGCTGGCAGTAATATACAGTTGGATCACAGGCCCTTTGCTCTGCTGCATGACCCATGACCTCTACACACACATCCACTAACACCCCCCCCCCACTGCTGCTGTCCATCTCCATCCTGCTATCAATGATGCTCACTGTGCATATCTGAGGCATTCAGCTCATCCACTAGAGCTCCCAACACCATCCTGACACTGAGAATGTGCTGATAGAAACGCCTGCACCATCAGAGAAATAATTGGGGCAAGTGAACATACATAATGGGTGAAATAGTGAAATATCTCCATGAATATATGTACTTCATAAATGCTCAGTTTTACATACTCAAGACACTTGTTGTAGGACAATAATCATAATATATATCTTAATCCAGACCTATTCAGCTGCCGATCATACACGGCAAAAACTGAAACGTTGACTTTAAATAAATGTAATTTTCTCAACAAATGTCACATTAGGTTAGTTGAAAGCAATAATATTAAGTTGAACCCAACATTGTATATTTAAAATGAATATTATTGCTTTCAACTAACCTAATACAGTTATGTGAAATCTGTTGACACAATACATTCAGTTAAAGTCATGGTTTAAGTTTCTTCAGAGTATTTAAACTGCTTCACTGATTTTAAGCCATGTCTTATATAGGCTAGATGCAGCTGATCAAATGGATTATAATACACACAAATGTTGTGTGAAATTTATCATTTTGTACATAACGTATGTCCTCAAACGTGACACTGTAAATGTATACTCATTTTTGTCACAATTGAAGGATATATATACTTAGACGTTTTTATATGAGTGTTTTTTGCATTAGCAGATCAAATAGCAGCTATTTTATACTCGGCTGAAAGACTTATGGTGAAACAGTAGAAGCACTTTAGAAGCACAATCAAAGCTAACTGTTAGCATTAAGCTATGACTAGCCAATACATAAAACAAATGTGACACTTTTATTATGTTTATTTATTTGTATCATCATTGTTAGTCATTACTGTGGACAGAGCGGCATCATGCCAACAATATACATTTATCATGTTTGGAGGTGGAGAAAGCCATGTCTTTTTTAGTGGAGACAAATAAGAAACAAACACAACAGAAGGAACTCTACATTATTTTAGATTAAGAAAATGCACATTCCAAAAAAACACAATAAGGTAGTTAATATATTGCGTACTGAATTAATAGTTTTATAACTTTCTGCATAAGCACATGACTTATATATACAAGTTGTATACATTATGTTATATGCTGCTGACCAGTTTAAATACTGCACAAAATGTTAACTTAGTATCTATAGTATATCTAGATCATTTTATACAACTTAATCAAAACATTTTTAGGAAGCTTTTTGTATATATTCTAATATCAAACTGTCAGAGGTGTGTACTGATTCTTAAGACACATCTAGTTAAAAAATGTTATACAATATTTAAAGGGAAATTACCCAAAGAATAGTTATCTGATAGTTTAAATAGACAGTATGCATGTTGTTCTGTCTCTCTAGAAAAAATAAACATTAATTATATTCTGTGGAGCTCCACACCACTTATCCTGGAGAGTCCAGAAACAGCCTCCTCTTACATCTGATGCTTTGATTGTACAGAGTTCAGCGTGGCCCACTCACCCTGTATCGATGGAACAGATGCCTCTGGTGTGTCATTATGTACAGTGAAAACACTCAGATATGCTAACACGTAATAAAACATACATATAGTAGTTTAAATACTGTGAAGGCCATGGCCGCCAGGCTTACTCATGTTACTTTATCACAGTAATGTTTACCTGCTTATGGGTCCATGAGATCATTCTATTACCATTATTAAAAAGTGACCGTGAAAAGGCATTTCTTGAAGAAAATACATCTAAAACATCTTAGATGATGATTATATTTGTGTAAGTGTTTCCCTCTACACAGTTGTGCAAAATAAGATACGTAAAAAAATGTGTATATTGATTAAATCTATTCAAAGTATTGGATAAATATGTTTTCTTAATGGTAAAAAACGATTTACACATGTGCAATAAGTCTTAAACATGGATTACTGTTGTTAATAAAAGTAAAACTCTACATTTTAACTGCAATTAGAAATTGCTTTGTATGAAATTGAAATTGTTATCTTGGTGTTAACGGTGAAATAAGAATTCAGATCCCAGAAAAAGGGTATGTACATGATTTCCGTATTCAAGATTTGCATTTTCCATGTTGTGTTCACGTTGAAGAAACACATTGTATAAGTGCATGAACAACTGCGCAACTCAAGTATGAATTCATTCAGAGGAATGGCCAAATAGAAGACTGGTCAAATGTAGCAGGACAATCCCAGGCATAGCATCAGCAAACCAACATATTTCTGAAATGTACAACAGGAAATGTAGGTGAGCAAAACACTTCAAGGCGACATTATATGGTGCTCCAGAGAAATATAATCTGCCCCTGATAAGCTTATTTTTTTTTATATCCGTCAGTACGGTTCCCCTCAAGCATCATATAATGTACACCATGTGTGGTACATGGTGATTGGTGGTACTTCCACTGGTGTTTTCTAAGATTGGTGCAGGCAGTCATGTAAGCATCAGTGTTCCCAAACATAATAACATGTTTGTTCATCCAACAATATAATGGAGCAGGTTATAATGGAGCATGTACAGTATGAGGGTGAACTCCATAGCAGCAGTGCTCCAGCACACGGTAATTCCTACACAATGTAATCCATCTATTCAGAGCGAGGTAAATAAAGACGGAAAGGATAAATAGAGCCAGCAGGCACCTCGCAGGCAGAACTGATAGTCTTTTTACATTCTCAAGGTTTCTTCATTCAATTGACAACACACCCCCCTGTTTTAAACCTTCTACAACACATTGCTGGCACTCTTGTTTCACGCACAAATGCCCCCACCATCACATGTTATGCACTCTGCTATGTGGACATGCCCTGGATTGGAGCACATGGAAGTGGGCAGAAATTGACAACGTCACATGTTTGCTTTGGATTGCTCACAGTGATTTAATTAGTTTGTACACAATAAAAGTATCCATAGACTAGAATAAAGTAGGGTTCAACTTCCAATTTTTCAAAAGCTGTTTAGAAGCTGCTCGTGTGCTAAAAAAAACGCTTCTGACTGAAAATACTTATTTAGCCCATCATGGAGGACCAAAGCTCTCCACTGAAACCCAGACAAATTAGTTTGGGATGGTATTCAGCTAGTTAAAGGAAGCTTCATTTCTGATTCTTAATTCCAGATTTAGCTTCTGGTCTATGTAGACCACAATATTTAAAGAAATAAACAATGGTTAAGGTATAGCTAAGGTTGTATTCTTCCTGAGGTTGAATAAAGGTCATGATTACAGTTTTCAAATAGCAGACATTAACTGTTGGATTGAGAGAGAGCATGAACTCTGTTGTACACCACGTCCACATTGCTACTGTTTCCTGCGTACGCACTAAATGATGGCACAGGAACCAAAAAGTGGACAGCAGATTAGCCAAAATCTTTTAGGCAAAATGATTTGGTGCCCAATCAATACGAGCATCCATAACCAAAAGCAATGCTTACCCCTTTTCAGCAGAGTCAGGGTTAGGGTTACAGTATAACAAAAGGTAAGAAATGATTGCTGGGGATATAAACTTTCAGTACTAACCAGCCATATGACTGATGGTAGAAGTTGAATTAGAGGTGCTTACATAGGTTACCACAGTTGGGTACAAAGTAAGTATTGTGGACATGAAAGACATGTTCCCCTATTAAACACACACCTATATTCCAAAAGAGTACATTCTAGGAATACATGTATGGATGTTTCAGAAAACAATTATACAATACAACTATAATTTACAAAGATTTTGTACAGTTTTGGACTGGACGGAAACAATTATAACAGCTGATTATGACTCAGACTTGTTGATTTAAAATATTTTTAAAAAGCCAATAATTAAGAAAACAAGATGTGTGTCCAACCCTAACCTGAGCCTGATTTTAGTCCATACATCCATTTAGAAAAATAAGATCCACTATGATGTGTAGTTTGTGCATCTCACAGTCCAGTGCTAATCTTTATCAGGCCAATCTGTGAAATTATCTTTTTTTTGTTGTTGTGAAAATCAACCATATATTTTTGTTTCATTGCTCCAGACTCCACATAATTGAATACCACCTACTTTTACATTGTTTTCTAACCATGATGCTGAAAGTGTCAAGTTGAAAAATGTGGTGCTAAGCATCTCTTTGTTGTGTTTCACATGCTTGATAGTGCACACCCTGCAATTTGCATTTTATAATTACTTCTGTAACATAAGAAAGGAGCAAAAATAGCAGCTAGTCATTAATATAAATGGATGAGCCATACAGCCTCGTACACAGTAGAGCAACTGTTAATAGTTGTATAAAGGTTTAATAGACATGTTATTGAAATATAGTATGTGTTTTGGAGAGATTACTGCATTTACTACACAGATTGTAATGCCACAGGATGAGCGTATTGTTAAAGACACTTGTTAAACATTTTAATAAAAGTATTAATAAACATTTGATAACTTTACCAGCTTCAGACCTCTTTAGGCTTGTCATTTTTTATTCATCCACCATGACTATGACACTTTTATTTTCTTGCCTCAATCATGTTCCCTGTACAATATTTAAGTACATTTCATCATCGCTGCTACACGCTCGCATGTTTTCTTTACAGAAGTTTGTGAAATATTCATGTTTGCCTTCAAATCCATAAACAGATAAGAGGATAAATCCAATAAATGTCTGTGCACCTACTACAGAGGTTACTATTGGAACTGTTTGGCGTAGTG